CGCCCGCCGGAAGAGGGGGCGGAGCCGCGCCCGCGCGGTCCTAGCGCCCGCCGCTCCCAGGGTCCCCACCCACCCCGCGAACTCACGGCTTCGGGGGCGGCACATGTCCAGGCTCGCCCCCGCCAAGGAGCGGGGACTCCGCAGTCCCCTTGGGAAGGGAGGTTGTGGCTCCGCTTCTCCCCCAAACTCGGGAGGTGCCTACGCTGGAGGGTGCGGAGGGCCCCGGGGGCCGGGCTGAGCCGCGCCACGAAGGTTCGCGTCTCCGGAGTCAACAGCCCCGGTCTCGGGGGCCCTTGTCGCGCAGGGGCCTGGGGCTCCAGCTTCCAGGTGCTAGGCAGCCGAAGCCTAGCAGCCAGATCGGGGAGCGCGGCTGGGGCCGGGAGGCCGGGCTGGGCGCTGGGCCAAAGGAACCTCGGCCCCAGCCTCAGGGTGCGCCCACATTCCTTCCGCGACCGCGGCCCTGCAACCGAGATCAGGCCTGGCCCAGCCCTTGGGTGTCGGGCCACCGCCCCCACCCTTGAAGAGACCACACTCTAGGCAGGCAGCTGATGTTTTTATTGGCGCTACTTTCCCAGTCGACTGAGAAACTGGTTTGGTCCAGCTACACTTTCCTCCTACCTGCTTTGCTGGGAAGGACTTGGGGTGAGGGACATCCTTTAGCAGGGATCCCCTCTGCTGAAATATGTTGCAGAATATGATGCACTCCCTCAGGGAAAGGGAGGCCTCAGAGGTTGTGCAAATCCTTGCTTCAGGATATAGGTGTGGGGGCGGATGACAGCTCCTTCTGACCTCCCAGCCCCAGGCAATGCAGAGAGGCTAGCCCGAATGGCCAGTCCAGGCAGGCCCTGGCTTGCCTCAGCTCCTCAGCACTGAGTGGCTCTACCAGTGGGCACCAGAGGCTTATTTTCTAACTGGGCTGGGGGGAGGAGACAGGGTATGTGAATTGCCAGTCACCTCCAGCCTTTTTCTTCCAAGGCTCTCAAGATCACCTTTCTTCCAAAAGCTAAGTCTGGCTTCCAACTATAGCCCGGCTGGGCCCTGGAAACACTGACTTAAGAGAAGGTGGGGTGGGGAGAGAAAAGAGCTGTGTGGAGGGGATGGAGGAGATCCAAGTTTATGCAGGGCCAAAAGCAGAACAGGGGCTTTGCTGGTTCTTACACCCCACTAATAACACAATCCAGAGGTCCGGTGGGGACAGTTAAGCTGCAGCACTTGCACTTTTTAAGAACATTCAGAGATGCAGTATCAGAGTGGTCCAGAAGTATCCCAATGCCTCATGGAGGGGCTGGCTCATCTGTGACAGCTGGAGAGTACAAGAGAAACCACTGCAACCTCCAGCAAACTTCAACTAGCTCCACACCCACACAGTGCCCAGGACGCCAGACCCTGCCAGGTCAGAAGCAGGTTCACACTTGGGCCCTTCCCGGTGCAATGGGTTAAAATACAACACTGAGAAGCTACCCCAAGCCATTGACAGGCGTTCCTATCCCCTCCCCCCACCCTCCAGGGAGCAGGGAGCTGACCCACATGGTTCTCCTTAGCCCTCTCCTGATATGCCCACTGCTCCCCACATCAGTATATTTCAGTCAGTCTGCCCGTTCTGCTCCCTACTCTGTCTCTGGTGGATCCTCTCACCTCCTGCACCTCTGGCCTATACCCCAGTTTTTGAATGCATAAATAAAACATTAAAAAAAAACAAAAAACAGCTTCGCACTTAACTGGTCTCTAGAGTAGGAGACAAATGCATTTGGGACCTGGGGAGAAGTGGATGCAGCCCTTCAACGAATCCCAAGAAGCACCCACCCTTGCCCAACCCAGGCAAGAAGCTCAGTTTTACCCCACAACTTCTGCTTTCATTTATCTGGGCCCTGAAGATGCTTTTAGTGATTTGGACCATGACCAGCTGGGCTGATCCTTGTGTAGGTGAAGAGAGAAATACCATACTCACGTCGAACAGCCAGGAGAGTATTTCCATGGCAACAGGACACAGACGTCACAGTGTAGGGGTGTGTCTCATCCAGCTGCACTGGCCGAGGGAGCCCAGCATCCTCATCCCTCCTTCCTAGTCGACCTCGGGCCCCTTTGCCCCAAGAGTACACCTCACCTTCTGCCAGAAAGAATCCCAAGAAGGAATTTTGGGGATTAGCAAGGAGTCCCTGACTGTCATACTGGCCCCAATATGAGGTTGCTGAGTCCAGCAGTCATGAGTATGATAATCCCTCATTGCCCATGGACCTGCCCGGTCCTTATATGCCCCCATAGTGCCCACTAGTCACCTGCCCCAATGGCTACAGTGAAAGCATCCCCACAGGCGACCATCGCTATCTTGATGCCCTGAAGACCCTGGACTTGACAAGGTGCCCGGCTGACCCGGCGAGCACTGGTGCCCAGCTGTCCGTGCTGATTGCTGCCGAAAGTGTAGCAGTCACCAGAGGCTAAAGGGAAGGAGAGAGGAAAGCAAGGAAAGGGTGCTGCAACCGCGGCTCCAAGGAGCCAGGGGAGGTCACCTCTGGCCTCTGCACTCAGGTCCGACTTACCAGTCACAGCAGCTGAATGAGCGGTACCCAGGTCCACACTGAGCAGAGGCTCCTGGTCCAGGGGTGCAGAACCTAGAGGTGTGAAGCTCAGGGCCTCCTCTACTTGCTGAAAGGGGACAGGCTCCTCCCCCAGGGAGAGGTGGTCCAGGCCCAGCTTGTTGAACCTGAAGCAAAAGAAAGTTTGTATGGACTGCCCTGCCCTCACTGGTCTGGCACGAGCTGGCGCTCCAGGGGGCAGATTCCAACTGGGTTGAACATAGCAGCACCCTCAACTCCCATAGTTTAGTTCCGGTCCCTGGTGGGAGGGAGAGAGTGACAGATGGAGCACTAACAGCCAGGGCGCGTGAGGGACAGGTTAGTCATCCGGGCACTCCTATTTACCTGTTACTCCCACAGGCCAGGGCTTGGCCAGGCACAGTGAGGATCATGGAGGAGTCAATGCCACATACAACCCGCTGGGCTTCCTGTCCTGAGGGCATGGATACCTGCTGGGGACAGCTGTGGGACTCCCGGGTGCCCAGTCCCAGCCGGCCTACAAGAAGCCAAGATGAGGCTAACTTGAGACTTAGGGCTGGTGATGCCAGGAGGAGGACCCACAGGAAGGTGAAACAGCATGAGGGAAGATCTTTTTTTTTTTTTTTTAAGGTTATTTACTTATTCATACAGAACTGGGGTACAGGCCAGAGATGCGGAGGGTGAGAGGATTCACCAGGGACAGAGTGGGGAGCAGAACAGGCAGACTGACAGAATAATTCACTGAGGGGAGCAGCGGGTGGGTCAGGAGAGGTCTGGCACGCCATGTGGTCACCTCCAGGGCAGGCGGTAATCGAACTCATACAGAAGTGGCTAAAGCTTCTTAGTGTTGTGCTTTAACCCACTGAGCCACCAGGGAGGGCCGAGAAGATCGTTTTTAAGCCTAAAATGCTTGTCCTTGGTCCCCAAATCCTACTCCTTCTTTAGGATCCTATTCAGATGCCACCTTTGTCTCCCCCAGATGGCGTCTCTTGCCAATCCTTGGACTCCCACACTCAACCAGTGTGGTACCCCAGGGCTGTCAGTCTTCTATCATCCTGGAGGTGTCTTCTCTCTCCCACTATACTGAGTCCTCCAAGAAGACAAGAATCCCATCTAAGTTACTGCTAGATTTTTTTTTTGTACTTTTTAAAGGGACAGGTTTATTAGGAAAAGGAGAAAGAGGAAAAAAAGAAAAAAGGCACCTGCATAATCTGAGTGGGCAGCAAGCTGCTGCTGCTGCTTTGCTAAGGGAAAGGCTTTTATTTGTTTTCTTTTGTTTGTTTTACATAAAAGAACTGGGGTGTAGGCCAGAGGTGTGGGGTGGTGAGTGGATTCACCAGAGACAGAGTGGGGAGCAGAACAGTACTGAAATGCACTACTGAGGGGAGCAGCGGGCAAGACAGGAGAGGTCTGCTGCGCCATGTGGGTCAGCTCCCTGGCCAGGGATCAAACTCTCAGTGATGACAGCACAGAGACTTAACCTCTAGCCCAGGAAAGGTTTGTGAAAAGAAATGCCCTCAGGAAAGGTTTGTGAGAAGAAGTGTGCAGGACAGCTGTCTAAGTTTATCTCAAGTTATCTCTAATTTTAAAGCCTGGCCTGATCCCTGACACAGAGAAGGCCAGAAGGATTACTACTGAATGAATGAAATCTAATCTCCCTCATTATAGGCAAAGTACCTGAAGGAAGTAACATCTTTTCACAGTACCCAGCAGAGTGGACAGATATAGTGGGTATGCCTACAAGTTTGGTAAGTAAACATAAGAATGGAGTTAGAAGAAAGCAAGAAAAATGGGCCATGACAGAAGGTGGGTATGAAGGGGAACAAAATCATGACTGGAGAGCTGTGAAAAGGGAGCCCAGGGCTGCCCTGGTGGCACAAAGGGTTAACAAGCACAGCACTATGAAGCTGTCCACAGCCACTGCAGCACCAGTTCAATCCCCAGCCAGGGAGCTGACCCACATGGCACAGCAGATCTCTCCTGTCTCACCCTGCTGCTCCGCCCAGCAGTGTACTTCAGTCAACCCACGTCTTCTGTTCCTCTCACCCCTGCACCTCTGGCCAATACCCTAGTTCTTGTATGCACAAATAAAAAAATAAAGGGAGCCCAGATAGAACAAGGGTAGAGAGCTTACCACCATCGCCACGGCCCCAGGCAAACAGTTCTCGCTCATTAGACAGGGCCAGCACATGAGAGGCCCCACAGGCCACCTGTACCATCTCATAGCCCAGCAGGGCTTCTACAATGGTGGGCTAGAGAGGAAGCAAGGGGAGGCAGTGAGCGAGGGACCTGCGAGGGCCTGGGCATCTGTAGGGACAAAGCTGCAGACTACAAACTCTCATGAGGTGGCTGCCTCCTTAACTCCCCCACCCACACCGTAACCTTTGGGGAAGGCTGGTCTTCCTGTACGTGCCCTGAACATGTGCAGCCTGGAAGCTGGAGGGACCTGTGGCTGCTGGAAATCCCCCTGGCTGCACTTAGGCATCAGCTCTCAGCTCTGGGCTCCTTGCCAGCTCCCTACTTCCCCATCCCAATGTATGACACCCACCTGGCTGATGTCATTGAGGCTACCATGGCCTAGGCACCCATTGCTGCCACTGCCGAAAGTCATGATGATACCTCTGTCTGGGAGTGGGTAGTGAGAAAAGGGAAGTGAGAAAGGCTAGGCTGTTCTTCTGACAGGCCCGTCCAATCTAGAGTTGGGGGCTCAGGTGGAAGAACAGGACGGGGTAGAAGAGGACAGGGTCTCTTTCAAGTGTGTCACTCCGGACAGGTGACTTAGCATCGGAGCTTTGGTTTCTAGATCTGTCGAGCAGAGAACTACCTTCCCGGGCCTGTTGTGAAGCGTAAAGGAGCCTGGGGAAGGATAGTACCTGGTACACAGTAAGGGGGAAATAGAAGCATTAACCGAGCAGTTTGCAAGCAACAGGGATGAGGGGATTTGCTTTGGGGGCCTTCTCATAGCTGTTACAGGGTAACCCCTAGCTGGCTCACCAGTCAGGCAAGCTGTGAAGAGGTCCCCGCAGGCCACATGTTTGATGGTCACACCCGACTGGCCCTCCAGGAAACGGGACACGAACTGGGGCTGCTGCTGTTCCACAGCTCCCGGCAGGAGGGTGCCACCTCCTGCACCTAGGGGTGGGGCCTGCAGGGGACCGGGAGGGGCCTGAGTACCCCATACCCACCTTGCTGGTGCCCCCACTGCACCCTGGGGTCCAAACCCCACGCCCCGCTGCTCACCTCCCACAAGATGAGGCGCCCAGACCTTGTGACACCGGCCTTCTGCGTGCGCCCTGCTGCCACCTGGACCACTTCAGTGTTGAGCATGGGCAGCCGCAGCGGGGTGCTGAGACCACCACCCCACGTGTACACCGATGACAGCGGAGGTGGGATGGCCGGCCGCACGGGCCCCCGGGGGATGCCTGTGGGGACAGCGCATGGCCCATTAGGCTGACGGGAATGGGAAGGCGACCACTGGGACGTGGTGCCCTGCCCCGACTTACCCCTGCAGCGGCCACTGGTAATCCTGTTCCCTGTGCTGCCGGGGACTATGGGTGGCCCAGTGGCCAGGGACTTCTCTGCTCTGGGGACAGATGGGGGCCTCAGTTCACAGACACCCCCGCCTCCCCCAGAGTTCTGACATACAGGAGTGGAGGCCTTGCCTTGAGAGCCCTCCGCTCAGGCTTAACTGTGCTCCCACAGGCTGCTCCCTCCTGCTGCCCAGACCCCCACCCTACTCCCTGCACAGGCCTTCGCATGCGGACGCTGCCCAAGTCTGTGTGGAGGTTGAGGAGGGCGCGGATGCAGAGGGGCTGGGCCATGATGTGACTAAGCGGTGGCCTCTGTGTGGGCTCCAGGCTGAGCAGACTCAGGACAAGCTGGCGCAGCTCAGGGCTGTACCGGTCAGAGATGGGTGCAAAGGTGCCGCTCATAATCTTCAGCACCAAGGCTGGCAGGTTCTGTGAAGGCACCAAGTTGTGGGGTTGGTCAAAACCTCAAGTTGGGTTCTTAGACGGCAGCACACCCTCTCCCAGGTCTGGTGGGGTGTTATGGACCTGTCCTTTGGTGTCCCAGCATGAGAGGGGAGCTAGACTTTGCTTTCAAGAGACCCTAGTCTGAGAGGCGAGCAGCAGCTATGTCCTCAGAAATCCTGAGTTGTGGGGAAAAATCAAGTCTGGCGCTTATAACAGCACATACACTTTAGGGAGTTCCACCTTCACTTTAACTGGGGGACCCAACCTCTATTCTCAGAAACCTACAGTCTGAAAGAAGCCACAGCCCTGGCCCGAGGTAATCCAATGAGGGAGACATGACTCAGGCAAAGGAGGAAACAAAAAAGTAGTTGAGAATAAGGACTGGGGGTAGAGTGGGCGGGTCAGCACGTAGAGAGATTCCTGCTTCTCCCCAGCTGTCATCTGCGGGTGTTTATACTCACTGCAGCCTCAAAGGCCCTTTTGAGGCTAGCGAGCTCGTAGAGGACACACCCCAGGGCCCAGATGTCACTCTTCTGGTTGTAGGGCTTGCCCTCACACAGTTCAGGGGAGATGTAGCATGGAGTACCCACCACCTGAAAGGGGGATGCGGGTATTAAGAATCCTGAGGAGTAAGAAGCAAGAGTTCTTCCCCAGCCCAAGTGAAGGCAGCTGCTTCTGCTCCCTCCCGCAGGACTGCCCAGCCACAGAGGCTAGGGTCTGTGTGAATGGGGGAAGTGAAAACAGATGCAGAGTGAACTTGGCCTTCAAAATCTCCAGCACCCTTGAGGTCCCCTCCATCCCCAAGCACCGTATAGGCCTTGCTCTTGCTGCTAAGGATCTTGGAAATGCCAAAGTCACCGATCTTGACAACCATTCGGTGTTTATCAAGAAGAATGTTTTGGGTCTTGAGGTCTCGGTGCAGGATGAGATGGGTGTGTACATGATGCAATGCAAGCAGGATCTGCACAAAGAAGTGCAGGATGGTCTCTTCCTCTAGCAGGGAATTACAGCGCTTCTGGATGAACTCAGCTAGAGTGCCCCCTGCAGCCACAAGGAGACAAGTCAGGATCTGCCTAGAACAACCAGTCTCCTTTTATGAAACTGAAAGTCCAGTGAAGGCAAGAGCCTGTCAGTGTGATACAACTGGGGACAGAACTCTACTTCTGACCCTCATCCAAGCCCTTTCCAACGAAAGAAGTCCACTGATCGTATCCCAGATGTGAGAGGCCCTTAAGAATCAGGCCAGAGCCTCCCTGGTGGCCTAGGCATTAAGTCTCAGCACTATCACCTCTATGGCCTGAGATGGATACCAAACCAGGGAGCAGACCCATATGGCACAGCCTTCTGTCTCACCCGCTGCTCCCCTCAGCAGTGTACTTCGTCCATCTGTTCCCCACTCCGTCTATGGTGAATCCTCTCAACCCCTGCACCTCTGGCCTACACCCCAGTTCTTCTATGCAATAAATAAATAAGTCTTAAAAAAAAAAAAAAGGAATCAGGCAATAAGGCAATGCAAAGAGGCTGGCCCACCTGGTGCATATTCCATGGCAATCATGAGGGCCTTGTCTTCCAGGAAGTTCTCATAATACTCTATGACATTGGGGTGGTTAAGCAGCTTGAGGACCTGGCACTCATTTTGGGCTGCCTGCCGCTCTTCCTTGGTCATCTGCTCCACGGGGATCTGTTTGATGATCACCAGTTTCTGATCAGCCTTTCGCAAGCACAGGTGCACAATCCTGGGGCACAGTACAAAAGTGGGCACCAACTGAGGCTCCAGCCACATCTCAGGCTGGGCAGGCCTGGTGACCAGATGTTCCTTAGAAGAGGGAAATGAGCACCCAAGGCAAGAGTCATCTAAGTAGTCCAAAAACAATGAGTTTGGGGATGAGAAGAACTGATTACAACTCTGCCAGACTTTGGGCAAGTCATTTAATCTATCTTGAAACTCAGTTTCACAACAAACACAATAAGATAGTCAATCTTCATGTCTCTAAGTTTCCAGACTCTGGAGTTAACTGGGTTCAAATGTTGGCTTCTTCTCTTAATAGTTACCTAGTCTGGGATTATGTGACTCCATTATATGGAAAATGGAATTGACTTTACAGGGCTGTTGAGAAGATCAAATGAGAAAATGCATGAAAATACTCTGAGTGGAAGCTATTCACATTATTGTTGTATTCCAACTGAGGCCAGTGTTCACAAAAGCAGGGTTCTTATTCTTTCTTGTTCACCACTCTATTCCCAGTACATACTGCGGTATTTGGCACCTCAATTCATTTCTGCTGAATGAATGGACTTGGAAATGGTCATCTAAGTTTCAAATTTGTATCTCCAGCTCAGACTACTCTGAGCCCCAGACTTATATATCCATCTGCCATCTCTTGCATCTCTGCCTGACTAGTGTTCAAGCATCTGAAATTTTAGCAAATTGAAAATAAAATTTGATGCCTGTGCCCAAAACCTTTCTTTCTTCAGTATCTTCCACCTCAATAAATGACACCTCAATTATTAAAATCAGACCTCTAATAATCATGCCAGAATATTTCCCATTCCTGGCTGCACTAGCCTAGGAAACAGTTCCTTTCACTCTGATCACCCTCAAATCTAAATTCGCACAGCTGCAGCGCTCTGGCATTTTTACAATGCATATCAAGACGATCCTCTCCTTCAGCCTCTTTCCTAAATTATTCATCCCCTCTACTTCAGCCTATAAAGCCATAATCTGGCCCCCATCCTCCCTAACAATCATATCTTATGCCATTCTGGCCCACTACATTCCAACTCCATTCGTCTTTTCTCAGTTCTTTTACTCATAATTCTTTCCCTCCACATATCTTGTTTCCTCTGCCTTCACCTTTGGACTACTGGTTCTCATTCCGTAAGCTCTGGCTTTAAATTTCACCTCTCACAGCTAATTTTCCTCAACTACCTCATGTAAGTGCTCCCTGGCATGTACCCTATGTTTGCAGCTTATTAATAATTGTTTTAAGAGTGTCTTATTTATCGTATAATTTTCCAATGGTATGTACATACACCCCGAGTGGGAAAGGGCCTTAACTGGACACCTAACGCGGTGAGCCTGACAATATATAATAGTTGGCGCGCAGTATTTGCTCAATGAATGTCAGAGACGAAGGAATAGAATAGAGCCGAGAGCGGGGAGCGGGGAGCCGGGGGCGGGGCTTGTGGGTGGCCAGGGGCGTGGCCTCCCTAGAGGCGGAGACTGCCAGCTGGGGCAGGGACCGGAAGCTGGGCGGGGCTGCCCGGAGTGGGTGCTCCCGCTTCGGGGAGCGGCGAGCCAGGCAGGGGTTTCAGGATCAGAGTTAAGGCTGATTTTCCATTTCCCCCGAGAAGTCCCCTCCCCCAGAGCCCTGGCTCACCCGAAGGCACCTCTGCCCACCACTCGAATCCGCTCGTACTTCTCCATTTCGTTTCTCAGAGTCACATGTCCGGAACCCCGTCTAGCAGAAGCGGCGCGTGCGCGTGCGCAGACCCACCCACTCGGAGCCACGCCCCAGCCGGCGCTGCGTTCGCGGGGCGGGGCGAGTGGGACTAGGTGTGGGTACAGCCTGGCGTCAGTCTCGGCGGGTTTCTGCCGCCGCTGCAGCCCTGACCCGCCGTGGCTTCTTCAGAGGGGTCGGAGGAGTAAGGCAATATGCCATTTCTTGGGCGCCCTGCAATGATCAATACAATATCCCCACATATGTGGCTACCTCCGGTCCTGCATAAAGCTTCCTTAGGCTGAGGTGTGTGTTTGGGGGGGGTGCCCCGCGCAAGCCGAGCGAGGGTGGGAAGTGAAACCCATTTCTCTCTGCCCACCCCAACCCCCTTTTCGCCTACTGGTGACGCGATTGAGGGAGAGAGTAGATTCCCGTTCCACTCAGTGCTCGGCCCTCCCCAACTGAACTCTGTCTGAGCGCTTTGTCTGTGGGGCAGCAGCTAGGTTAGGTTTCGTGTTTGCGTAGGGAGGGACCGGGGAAACCCCGATCTGTGCAAATTGATTCACCGGAGGAGGACGTGACCCGGGCTCCAGACTGTCAGACAGTGAGCACTGCGCTCGTCAACACTCAACTGTCCACGTGTGTCTTGCACACACGATACTGCTGCAGGGTAATGTGCCTTCAGTGTATAGCTGTGGAGAACCTCCTACGGGGAAGAGAAGCGGGGAGTGAACCACTCTCCAAGCGCATGGGCGAGGAGGACAGACAGCCGTTAGATAGGACCTCAAAGCTTCTGCCAGAGGTGGGGAGCTGTTCTGTAGGATCGTTATAGCCTCGACTAGAAGCGAGTTTAATTCCAGTTATGTCCCTGACATCTCCTGCTCTACGTGAGCCCCATAAAAAGCGTGGGGGGAGGGTGATGATTAGCTGACTCGTTGCCCTGTTACTGAGAGTGAGAAGGTAAGGACAGGTGTTTCTCTGCTCCCACCTGCCCATCGGGAAAGTACCCCAGCCTGTCCTCTTGGAATGACCGCTAGAAGGACCCTCAAGGGCCCTGGCTCAGCGAGGTGGCTGGCTCCAGCCCAGGTTGGCTGGCTTTCAAAGCTGCTCTGTGAGCTAAGGGGAGCGCGGGGCGGGAGGGTGGGGGTGGAGAGCCACTCACCCGGGACACTCATGCTGTCACCTAGAAACCAGTCGGGCCTTGGTTGACCCGGGAGCCCCACAGGGGTTAATATGTAACCTTGGTGTCATCAGGGGAGCAGAGCAAACATGCAAAGGTTTGGCTTGGTCCCTGGGTCGCTGAGGCCTCAGCTTCTCGCCTCTTGTCCCACTGGTTGGACCATTTCCCTAGACACTTCTCCGCTCCTCTTTGCCACTCCGCACACCCTGTCACTTCCCACCCTTCCCACCCTCCGACTCCCGCTCATTGCCCCTCCTGGGTCCACGGAGTCCAGCTCACTCCTAACAGTAAGTCTTTTCCTTTAGTGGCGGGAGGAGATCCCGTGCCATGGTGAGGACAGGCTGACACCTAGTGGCCGCGAGCGCACACGGCCCCGGGATACCGCCTGAAGAATGAGGGTCACCCTAGCAGCTCCGGCAAATCGGCCGTCTTCCCCGCCCCAGTCTCCAGGGAGCCGGGAGAGAGAGCTGGGACTGTCTGAGGGAGGACTGTGACAACCGCTTGGCCCCGGGAACCCTAGAGCGGGCAGGGAGGAGGGGTGCGAGGTTAGTCAGCACTTTCTCGGCACAGACCCGCGCGGGGCGCGGTACAGGCAGGTAAACACGTCCCGGTGTCCTCATCTGGCCCGAAGCTAGAGTTCCAGCGGGTAGTGTCCAGGCGGAGATCAGGGTCCGAGGCAGGGTCCGAGGCGGGCTCCGACGCCTCCACCCGGCCCGGCTAAAATTTTGGACGTGGGTGTGTGACTGGTCCCGCCCAGCTCTGACCAGAAAGGAGTTGAGGGCGGAGAGTGAGTTCTCGGAGTACCAGCCCAGGCGGGGGAGCCGTGGGCCGGGAGAATGTGGGGACGCGGGTTAATGAGACCAAGCGAGCGAGGCGGCAGTCCGTCGGCAGTCGGGAGGCGCCAGCCTGGGGTGTCTCGGCGGCGGTGCCCCCAGGACAGCCGCTTTCGCCCGAAGTCCGCGGGAACCAGGCGGGGCCGGGAGGCCCCCCGGGAAATGAAGCTCGCGCCCTCGGTGCGGCAGAGGCGCCGGAGAGGCGGGGGCTGGCGGCCGGGGCGGGGCCGGGGCGCGGGCGGCTAGGGGCGGGGGCAGAGGCCGGCGGGGAGGGGACGGGAGGAGCGAAGGGGCCTAGAGGACTCCGCGAAAACTGAGTGAGGCTGGCGTCGGCGGGAGAGTCGTCCCGGGCGGAGTGGTCGGAGAGGGAGCCCGGTTCCCCGAGCAGCCCGGGGAGGCCGCCTAGAGGGCGGACAAACAGACGGCCGGGAGGGCCAGCATGCCCCCACTGTTGCACCCCGCCCTGCCGCTGCTCCTGGGCGCCACGCTGACCTTCCGGGCGCTCCGGCGCGCGCTCAGTCGCCTGCCCCTGCCCGCGCACGTGCGCGCCGACCCCCTGCGCACCTGGCGCTGGCACAACCTGCTCGTCTCCTTCGCCCATTCCATTGTGTCAGGGATCTGGGCGCTGCTGTGGTGAGTGAAGGACTGGGGGAGCGAAGGTGGCTAGGGGATACCTCGTTACTCGCTTTGCCCATCACTCGCGGGCCTGCTGAAGCCGAGCCGTCTCACCTGATTCCGTCTGGAATGCTGTCCAGCCCGGAGCGGCCGCGGCCCCTGGACTGGGGGAGCTCCTCGGGGAAACGGGAGACACCTGGGTTTCCGCCAAGCCCCTCCTCACTCCCCAGCGAGCCAATAGCGGGAGCCCAGACTCCTCCGGGGCTGACTAGGGTGATGAGGGAGTTGAGGGTCCTTGCAGAGGCTGAGACGAGACCCTGACTTCTTCCCTCCCTTCCAGTGTATGGCAATCCCCCGAGATGCTGGTGGAGATCGAGACGGCATGGTCGCTTTCTGGGTACTTGCTCGTTTGCTTTTCCGCTGGTAGGTCTTGCCCAGGAAACATTAAGTTGGCTCTTACTGTACAGCCCACCTCGTGACTGCTTCCCCTTTTCCCTCCTCCAATAGGGTATTTCATCCACGACACGGTGGACATTGTGGTTAGCCATCAGGCTCGAGCTTCTTGGGAATACCTGGTCCATCACGTCATGGTGAGCAGCAGAGGGCATGGTATAGGGCTGGGATGTGGTCTAGGCTTAGACATAGCCTGGCTTCCTCAAACTGGTAGGGGTCAGACTGTCTTCTTAACTGTCCAGACTGTTTTCTTAACTGTCCAGTCCTACAGTTCATACTAGGATGCTGAGAGCTTGGTGCTCCTGTGCCCTCAGCTGACTGAGGCCACACTAATCCATGGCCTCACTCAGTATACTTCAAATAGAGTGGTCAGGGATTAAAATTTGAAGGTGTTGAAATATATCCTATTAGGAAGCAAACAAGGGAGGATTTTCTGGCCCTCTATCTGGTGGCCTTGACACTCCAGCTAACCTTTAGAAAAGCCTTGGCCTTAAGTTATCCTAACCTGTCTTCTCTCCCTTGCTTTCAAGGCCATGGGTGCATTCTTTTCAGGCATATTTTATAGCCGCTTTGTTGGTGGGGGTGTCCTCACACTGCTGGTGGAAGTGAGCAACATCTTCCTCACCATTCGCATGATGTTGAAGATCAACAATGCCCAGGATCTCCTCCTCTACCGGGTCAACAAGTATGTCAACTTGGTCATGTACTTTCTCTTCCGCCTGGCCCCTCAGGCCTACCTCACCCATTTCTTCCTGCGTTATGCTGGCCAGAGGACCCTGGGCACCTTTCTGCTGAGTATTCTGTTAATGCTGGATGTCATGATCCTAGTCTACTTTTCCCGCCTCCTCCGCTCGGACTTTTGCCCTGAGCGTGTCTCCAGACGGCAACACAAAGACAAATTCCTAACCGAGTGAGGGGCACAAAGCCTGGAACAGGACTTGGCAAGGACAGCAAACAGTGGAAGGAGCAACCTCACTTGTCAACTGAGACTTGGCCCAAGCCTGGGGCATCCTCTCCATTTATCAAGCCTGCACCCACAACTGAAAACACTAATGAAAGCATTCCTCTGAAGTCCTTGTCCTTTCTTGGGCAAGGGGTGCGGGAAGCAGATGGACCGGTTGGACATGGTAGATGGGTGTGGGGAGACAAGGTGCTTCCAGAAAGCAAGCCAGCCAGCACTGCCCTGTAATGGATGCTAATGAAAACTGGTATTGGTATGTTGAAGGCATGTTCTACTTTCATAGGACAACTAAAACTCTAGTCTGCATTACAATTATCTGCTACCCAAGCTCCACCCCTGAGGATTATAACAAGTATGGATAGGGATGAGTATTCCAATCGGGTAAGTAGACCAAAAAGCCCTGTTACTGAAGTGTGTCAAGTCTAACAGTATGGTCTCCCACCAGCTCAAGCAGAAACCAACATAAAGACAAGAAGCATATTTATGGTGAAAAAACTGTATTTAGAATTAGCCAGCTGGAGTCAGTTTAGATGATCCCAATCTGAAAAACAAAAGGGAGTTTAGTTACTAGAAGCTGAAACAGTAATGTGACGATTAAGCTGGAATAGTTAAAAAGCAAAAATTAGGCACATGGTAGGGAGCGCCAAATAACAAGGGTGCAATCAGTGAGTTGAACTAATCAGCAAGTCAGGCTTTGGTCACTAACAAACACATCATTTACACCCAGAAGCCAAAGGTTAAGAAACTCCTCTATCTAATCTTACTTTGTTGGCAACATCCAAAGCATCATAGTCAGGAGCCAGTCGGACATATGCCTTCTTCTCTCCATCAGGTCTAGGGAGAAGAAAGAAGCCTTAGTCACTAAGGTCCTCACTGCCCCCATGGCCTCCCCCCCACCAATTGCACATCAGTGGTTCCTTTGTTCATGTCATTCTTTTCCAAATAGTGATTTCTCCATCATTTGTGCACAGAGAGGAGTAATGGAAGTCATTTACCCACAAAGCCAATTTTCTTATAGGAAATACAAGGCACTTTGAAACTGAAAACCAGATAGTATGAGAATTTTCATTTTATTTAATTCAGGACCTGCTTCAATCTAGAGACAGCAATCACGAACATTAAGCACTACCCCATGTAAATCAAGTCCCACAGGCAGGACAAACCTGGTTTCCGCAAAAGTCCATAAAAAACTAATTCCAACAGGGGTTGCTCACCTCTCAAAATGTGTACAATGCAATACCTACTTCTGATACCAAGAGCAGACTTATGCCATTCAGGTTTCCTACCTCCCCAGGCCCCAAACTTCTCTCTATCCCATGGGGCCCTACTCACCGGATCAGGGTATTGACCTTGGCCACATCAATGTCATAGAGCTTCTTCACAGCCTGTTTAATCTGGTGCTTGTTGGCCTTGACATCCACAATGAACACAAGTGTGTTGTTGTCTTCTATTTTTTTCATCGCTGACTCAGTGGTAAGCGGGAACTTGATGATGGCATAATGGTCAAGCCTAGGGGAAGAGGAAAAATGGGGTCATCTGGCCCTGGTCCAGAAGGACAAAGGATGGGGCCCTCTTTTGGAGCTTAAGGTCTGGGTGCATCAGACAATTAGGTTGCAAATCACTTTGGAGTCAGACTTTGGTCGCTAAACAGTGTCATCATCTGCACCCTAAAACTAAGAACCTGGAGTCTCAGTCTGGGTGCCGAACCCTTATACTTGGGCATATTCATATGAAGAACGTTTACTGTTAAGTGATCATCCTTGTGTTCCAAACCCCTCCACTTTTATTTTACCTCAACCTTTCCAAAGAGCCTATTTTGAGAAGAAGCTTAAGTTTATCCCATGAACACAAAACAAAGCTAGACAATGGAAACCTGAAACCCAAACTAAGCTTGCAAAGATTGTCATTTTACTCTGGGTTGACAGGACTATTTCTGTTCCCTTGGGTTGCTCAATCTGGCCCAAGGCCCTGCTAACTCATGCAAACTACTTTTTAGTCTACAGCTAAAGCTAACCTACCAGTGGTTTCAACTACAGCTATTACAGCTTTCTCCCTAAAATTCAAAGAAGCATGGCTGTTCATCTAGACACTACTTCCTGATTTTGAAGTTAGAAGTCAGGTCTCAATCACACTATATTCTAGGTGCAAATGGGCGCACAGCCGTCAAGTGCTTTCCTTCATCGACAAAACTCACTAGCCCGCCTTTTTTCTTGGTTTAGCAGTGGGAGAAGCAGAATCTACTGGCAACTACTACCAAAGCTCTAATGAGTGGTCCCTAAAGTCAGTTATTACCAGTAGTGTGACATGTAAATACTCAAGAACCCAAACCTTTCACCAATTTCCCTCTATTCCTTGAGAGTAAAAACCTGAGAATGAACGAAACTTCCACATGCTGGTGCAAGGCCTTAACTGTTCAAAGTTGAATGAATCACCTGATAAATCTCACCCCTTATTCTCCAGTTCCCTATAGCAAGTGGTGCAATGAGGTATCAATTAAGTTTGATAGTCCATTACAACAACTAAGCTCCCAAAGTTAACTACAAACTGACCACCTATAAAGGAGAAAATTCATTAATCTTGACAGTAATTGGCTTAATCTAAATAATTCCTAAAAGTACTCTTCTTAACAGGGAATTAAGAACCCCACACTCCAGTTAGAGAACTTTTTCAAGGATACGGGGCAGTACTAACTTGTTTCTCCTGGGAGCGCTCTTCCGCGGGTATTTGGGTTGCCTTCGGAGTCGCAGTGTCTTGGGCCTCCGAAATGTGGGTGAAGTGCGGATCTTCTTTTTCTTATGGCTGTGGACGCCTTTCAATACTGCTTTCTTGGCCTTCAACGCTTTTGCCTTGGCCTCGGCTTTGGGAGGGGCGGGGGCTTAGAGAAATAAAGAAATTTGGAGTGCAGGTTACAGAAATGCATCGTTTCCGGCCTGAAGACCGGCAGTGGGTTCCCTGTGCCACATGTGCATCAGTGGTTCCTTTGGAGACATCACAAGACTCAGGTGATGAAAATTTTTCCATCATATGCACGATAAGGAAAAGGTACACAGTGCTACCTTACATCTTAAAAGAAGAAAATAAAGTACTAGGCAGAGCCTTTAGCGATCTTAAGGCCTGCATGTACCTCTGGTCTATGCCTAAGTGTTACTACGTTCCCAATGCCAAATACCTGACAATCCCCGCGCCTGCCGGTCCGGCCTCCCCAACCCCCTTCACTGCAACCCAGCCCACGCGGTTAGGCCCACGCGCGCCGCAGCGCGACCGAAACGCGAAAAGCAGCTCCGCGGAGCAAGCACCCCAGGACCTAAGCCATTAACCGTCCTCCCAACTCGTTCACGCTGCGGGGTACCAGGCTCGCGAGCCGTGGTCCCGCGGCTCACCACACACCTTCCTTCTTTGCCTTCGGCGCCATCTTCGTGAAAAGGGTTTCCAAGGCCCCTTCTCAAGGGCTTATAGCGTCAAGGCCCACCTAAGCCTCGCGATGTTTTATACTGAAAGCTGATTGGCCAATCTGTATTGTGGCGGCCGCCGGGAATGGTAGCCTCACTCACTTTGCGAGCATGCGCCACCCCGCCCCCTGAGACGCTCACGGGTTCTCGGGAATTGTAGTTTTCGTGGCGACACGTGTTTAATCGCGGTAGCGGGCGGGTGGTGCCGCTGCCTGCCGATCTGGTCTGGTCCTAAGTGCTTCCTATCGAGCGACTTCCAGTCTCAGCCCTCAGGATCGCAGTGCAGGGAAACAGTAACTGAGGGAACCGGAGTTAATATAACTAAACTGACTCAAAGCTCTAGAATGTCTCAGCAACTTGCCCGGTCTCATTTCCTCAGACAACTTGAGTGAAAATTGAGGTCCAGAGAGGAGACGTGGCTTATCAATCACAGGGATTTGGCGGCAGAGAAGCCGTGTAGAGAAGAGGAGCAAAGTGACAGGACACGTAGGGACCGGTCACACCTGCTCTTTACGTGTGACTGGCTTCCTACCAGTATCCCAGACCCGCAGCACCTAGATTTCTCCAGCATTCACTGGTTGCGAATAATGTCTCCTCCCTCTAAGTCATCTTTGCCCCAGTCATCGTTGCAATTTCAAACTCAGTTACTGATACACAAAGTTGATTAAATACCTCAGATTTGTTCTCTGAAGGTCTCTCTACTGCCCCTGCACCTCGTCGTTGCTGTCTCCCCTCTCCTCTTGAAACCCGACTTCCCCAGTGACCTTGGGGTTTGGTACCAGCTACCCCCTCTTCTAATTCGCAGAACTGCAAAAAGGAAAAGTCCCCGGGAGGAAAAGAGAGGAGAGCGTCCAAATCCGAGGGAAGTCCCCCAGTCTCGCAACAGTAACCTCCCCAAAGGGTGGAGTTCCCTACCATCTACCCCTTCTTTGCCTCCATTGCAGGAGACAGCTTGATCTTCAGCTCCCTCCCCCCGCACCCCCATCTACCGCAGCTTTGGAATTAAAGACAACAGACGTCGACGTGTCTCCCTTCGGAGGGCACCCCGTCCCGAACCTAGCATCCCCGCCACGTTTCTCCCACCACCACCCCCTCCCCTCAACCCCCCACCTCCCAGGCCAGAGGGCGAGCGGGGGCAGAATCTATGAGTCACGATCTGGGCCTGGAGTTAAGGAGGGAAGCGCCGCCTCTTCTTGGGCCCCTTCTCTCCCCCTTTCCCCTCCCATCTGGCTCCTGGCGCAGCCAGATGCTGCGCAGCAATCACCGATTCCCCATCACCAATTCGGCTGGGTAAGGGTCTTTGTGGAGGTGCAGCCCCGACAGAGGTGTGGAGGAGAGCGCCCTGGGGAATCCGGCTCTGGGAAGAATTCAGCCTGGGTGGGGGGCGGGACTGAAGCGGGAGAGGCGTCTGGGAGCCCCAGAAGGAGCAGCACAGAAGGGAGGGGGTGGTGGGAGGCCAGGGCCTGCAGCAAGGCCGGAGTAGCCTGCAGAGGGGCGGGGGGCGGCCCTACTCCAGGAATTTCCGGGGATCAAGTTACAGCGCTCGCCGAAGTAGAGCCCTGCGGGACCAGAGGCCCTGCAGCTCACTGGGCCCCTCGCCCTCTCCAGCAGCCCGCTGGCCTTGCGGCGCCGTCGCAGCCCACACTGACCCCGTGTGGCCGGGCCGCTCCGAGCCCCAGGGCCGCTCTGTTATGGTCGGGCCGCCTCAACCTCGAGCTGTCGTCGGGTCTCCGCGGCCCCGAGTTATTGTAGGAACTATCCGGCCGCGTGTTATCGTAGGGTCTGCGCGGACCCGAGCCCCCCAGGACGGGAATCCCCGCCCCCACTTGGCGCGGGAGGGGTCTCCTCGACCTCGAGTAGTCTTCGGGACGCCCCGGGCCCGGGTGATTGTGGGCTCGCCCCGGCCCAGGGTGATAGTCTCATCCCCGTGGCCCGCGGTGGTCGTAGGGTCTTCGAGCCCGCGGGCCCCCTCCGGTTCTTCGTGGCCCCGAGTTATAGTCGGGACATCTCGGTCGCGGGTGATTGTTGGGTCCTCCCGGGCTCGGGTCGCTGGGACGGATCAGGCCTCCGCGCCTTCTCAGGGCGCTCCGCAAGGCCGCAGGCAAGATGAACATTCTGGCGCCGGTGCGGAGGGACCGCGTCCTGGCGGAGCTCCCCCAGGTAGGCGCCAAGGCCACGTCGGGGTTCTGGCAGCCGTGGGCTGTGGGCGGGGAGGAGGCGGCTTTAATCCGCGGCGGGCCCCAGCCCTGCCTCCCAGCCAGGCCTGCCGCTTTGGGTGGTCCCCATTCCTGCGCACCCGCGCCCCAGGCTGCTTGGCCGCGGGACCGGGTCGGGGAGTGGGTGAGTTTCAGCCTCCTGCTCCCTCGTAGTGCCTGAGGAAGGAGGCCGCTTTGCACGGGCACAAAGACTTCCACCCCCGGGTCACCTGCGCTTGCCTGGAGCACCGGACAGGCACCGTGGGGTGAGTTAGAGACTAAGGGAAGAAAGGGTATCCCAGGAAAGCCCCTAACCAAAACTAGGGTGCACAAGCACCCTTCTTGGCGCTCCCTTTCTGCCTCTGCCAGCTGTGGCTTTGTATGCCCCTGTGTCTTCCCCTTTCTTACCTGCAAAGTTGTGGTGAGCGCTGTAAGATTGGGTTGGGTAGAAAGATGGCAGTTGGGTTGATCGGAAGATTTGCTTCCCACATACTAGCTATTTGAACTCTAGACTGTACCGACAGGGATAAATCTTTTTGTGGATAAGTCCATTTGTGGATTAAAAAAAAAGGGTAATATTGATAACCACTGCCATTATTAATTGAGCATCTGTGTGTTGGTTACTCTTTTTTCTTAAAGATTTATTTATTTAAACATATAAGAACTGGGGTACAGGTCAGAGGTGGGGGAATGTTAGAGACAGAGTGGGAAACAAAACAGGCAGATCTACTGAAATACCCTGCTGAGGGGAGCAGGGGGGAGACAGGAGGGGTCTGCTGGGCCCTGTGGGTCAGCTCCCTGGGTGGGATTGAACTGGTGCTGCAGTGAATGCGGCCAGCTTCCTAGTGCTGAGACTTGCACAACCAGGAAGGGCCTGTTGGTTACTCTTAAGAATCTTCAGTTAAATGGAAAACACCATGTCTTTAGGATGTATCCTCTTTTCAGAGATATTAAAATAGATGTGGGGGAAGTGCTGCATCTCATTTTTCTCATAAAACTTTCCTTGACTACCCAATAAAATATATACTAAACCTACACTTAGAAAATCATCAAAATGAAGTACCAAGAGGCTATGTAATTTGTCCAGAGTAAGCTACTAGCTTTTCTGCTAATTAAGTATGAGGACTGGAACTCAAATTCATGTTTCTCACACTAAAGGACAATACTCTCCTTCCCAAGCTGCCTGGGAAGCCTGGTGTTTCTGGTAATGTCAGACTTGGTGCAATACCTTTCTGAGCCTAAACACACACACGCATGTGCACACACACAGGGGACGCTGTAGGGTGCAAGTGCCCACTCCTTTTGTCCACTTTTGTATCTAGCAGATTTAAGATCTCCAAGGTCATTGTGGTTGGGGACCTGTCAGTGGGGAAGACTTGTCTCATTAATAGGTAAGAGGGTGCTGGAGCTGAGCTTGTTGTTGGGCTGGGCAGGGTGGGACATGCCTAGTGAGAGCGTCTGATGACACCCTCAGGTTCTGCAAAGATACCTTTGATAAGAATTATAAGGCCACCATCGGAGTGGACTTTGAAATGGAACGATTTGAGGTGTTGGGTGTCCCCTTCAGTCTGCAACTGTGAGTGCTTCCTCCACCTTTCCAGCCATTCCTTCTCCCAGCGCCCATACCTCACCTCATTCCCCCCTTCCCCCCACACACCTGTGTTCACTATTTCCTCCCAGCTGGGATACTGCTGGACAGGAGAGGTTCAAATGCATTGCATCCACCTACTACCGTGGAGCTCAAGGTAAGAGGCTGGGTGAGTGGGTAGGTGGGTGTACCTGAAATGAGACGTAGAGTCAACCTGGGTTTTTTTTCTGCCTTCTTCCAGCCATCATTATTGTCTTCAACCTGAATGATGTGGCCTCCCTGGAACATACCAAGTATGTGGAGATGCCGAAATATAGTGGGTGCCCTGAGGAGTGCTCAGGGAAAAGGGGAATCACGGGCATGGGAGGAGAGGAGAAGAATACACGTAGGAGCAGAGAGAGGGCATTTGGGCAAATGAGTATCAGTAGGAGCAGCCTGTCCAGCTCACTAATCCCTCGCTGTCCACCATCTGTGACAGGCAGTGGCTGGCTGACGCTCTCAAGGAGAATGACCCTTCCAGTGTACTTCTCTTCCTTGTGGGTTCCAAGAAGGACTTGAGTGTGAGTGTGTCAGTAGGGAGATTTCCAACTGGGTGAGGGGAACCCCTTTGCCCTACAACCTGACTCTGACTTTCCCTCAGAGTCCTGCTCAGTATGTGCTAATGGAGAAAGATGCACTGAAAGTAGCCCAAGAGATGAAGGCTGAGTACTGGGCAGTCTCATCTCTCACTGGTGAGTCAGGCCTTCAGCTGTGATATTCCTGCTTCCCACTGCTCTACTCCTGCTGTGTGCAGTGACCCCAGGCCTGCCCCTGTCCCAGCACCCGTGTGCTCTTTGTGGCAGGTGAAAATGTCCGGGAATTCTTCTTCCGTGTGGCAGCACTGACCTTTGAGGCTAATGTTCTGGCTGAGCTGGAGAAATCGGGGGCCCGGCGCATTGGAGATGTTGTCCGTGAGTGCCTACCTGGATGAGGGAGGCAGAGATACCAGCCGGGGAATCTCCAGGCCCTCTTCACATGTTTCCCACCCTTCTTCAGGCATCAACAGTGATGACAGCAACCTCTATCTAACTGCCAACAAGAAGAAACCCACCTGTTGCCCATGAGACCTGAGAGGATTGTCTGGCGATTCCCCAGGCTTGGGCCACTGAGCTACCTTGACTTGCCCAGAGCTCAACCCTTGGACATTTGCACTGAGTCTTTTTTCCAGACCAAAGAGCTGCCTCTAGTGGCAGTACCCCAGAAGGCTCACAGGACCATGCTAGTCACCCTGCCAAAGACTGGACCCCCTCCCCCCCTGCAGCTCTCCCTTCTCCAAGGTGCCTTTCAGTGGGGAAGCTCTTGGGTATGAGGATACTTAATGATTCCAGCCTCACACAGTGCCTTATGCATTAAAATCTCTTATTAGCAGTTTGGGGGCTGGAGTCCTTTGTTGATGTGAGTTGTAGAATAGGTAGTGCTATCTGGTTGTCTTGGGAGTGGAGTCTCCAGCTGGAATCCTGATCAGCCTTGGCCCCTGGGTAGGGCATATACAGGCTAGCAGCGGGGACCAACTGTTTTTCTTGGGGGTGGGGTGGGCTGCTACACTGGACCCTCAGTGGGTGACCTCTGACTATTGACTCTGAAAGCACTTTGGTCCTTTCTGCCATCGGGTATTTTTTTTTTTTACTTTTTTTCTAACTTCGCTTGAGATGCATCTTTGGATGCTTTTTGGACTAATCAAAAGGCTCAGAGAGGCCATGAACCAAGCTCTTACCAGATGTGGTACTAACATCTAACCATATTAGTAAACATAAAATTGAGTAGTAGCCTTTTGCATTGTAAAATGATTAAAGAACTACATTGAATATTTTTCTTCTACAAAGAGAAAAAGATGTGTTCTGAATTAAGAGGGTCTGTGTTTGAATTCTTCCTGTTTATCCTGGGATACTAACACAGACCATTTATCCTCTCTGCCTCAGTTTTCCTCATCTATAAAATACAATGTTGAGGTTTCACGGATGAAACAGTAACACTAAGTAGGAAGAATTCACACCTTAATTATATAGTAACTATTTGTAAAAGAGTGACCAAGAACTTGGCCACTGTTGACATCTGTCCTAAGCCATGGATTGTAGCTCAGTGCTATAAGAAGCATATCGGAACAATGGAGGGACACATGTGGCCTGGTGTCATCCTGGGAGGTCCTGGAGATCCACGATTAGAACATGGGCCCTGGCTCCCAGGATCAAGTGCTCAGTCCATTTCCTGCCTCGTCCCATTCTTGTCCAGCCACTCTGTCCAGGAAGGGTCGGCTTTTCTGCACACTCCCTCTGATCTCCTACTCCCCCAGCGAGTGTAGATTGGGGGCGTGGCTAGGGGCCGAGCGGTCAGGTTCCGAAGGGTTGCGAAGGGCACGAAGCAGGCCGAAGTGTCAATGGTTGGGGCGGGGCTAAGAACGGGGCTGGGGGCGGGGCTAAGGCCTGGGGGTAGGACTAAGAGCTTGGAGTGGGTCTGGAGAGGGACTAGGTATGGGACTGCGAGCTGGGCCAGAGCGGCCGAGCTAAGATTTCGGCCTGAGATAAGAGGGGTTACGGTGGGACAGAGAGTGGCCCGGAGGAAGCTGGGAGGCCCCGGATGAAGAGCTCCACCGAAACTTAGATTTGGGCTGATAAGACCACGCAGTCTATCGCGGGGGGAGGGGGGTGGAGGCCTTGGGCAAGCATGAGGCGGAGTTAGGGACTGAACTGCGGCCAAGCAGAGATTGGGGTTCACAACTGGCTTGGCCAAGTTGAGGTTCAGGGTTAGGCTTCTGTGAAGAAGAGTCTTATTAGGGACAAAAACGGGGTTGAGCAATGTGGGTCAGGACGACACTGAGGATCGAAAGGTGGACTAAGGAAAAGACTGAGGACGAGGCCAGCAGCTGGGAGGAGAGCAGCCCGGGTAAGGAGGGGCGGGGCGGGCGGGGGCTGGCCTGCGGGCTGGGGGCGTGGCACGGGGCTGGCCTCGAGGCTACCCGAGGGTGTAGAACCGAGGAGCGTCCGGCTGGGGAGGCGGGGCCAGGTGCTGGCTGGGGCGGAGTCAAGGCCTGGGGGCGGGCCCACCTCGAGCCGTGGACCAATGATTGAGGACTGGGGCCCTGAGCCCTGGAGGAGGATTGTTTGCAGGTTGGACCTGGCGGGTAGTCTGGTTGGAGCCAGAGCAGCCAGCGGCACGTTTTAGGGCCGGAAGGTTATGTTGTGCCGCGGCTTGGGGGGGGGGGGGTGCAGGGGGAAACCGGGCTACTTCCCAAGTGTGGGGCCTGACTGGAGTCTAGTGCCACCCACCCAGTCACCTGGGCCGGGGCGGGAGGTTCCGTCGCTCTGAGGGCCGGAGTTCTGGAGGTTCCACGTGTGACATCACAATCACCACCACCTCCACGTGGGGGCGGGGCTGGGACGGCATTTCCCTGGAGACGCTTGCCCAGCTCCCTCTTTCCCTTCCTCGAATATTCCCTCCCTTCCCTTCTCCTCCCCTTCCTCCTCCCCTTCCTTAGTCCTCACCTCACCTCTCCCTTCCGCATTCAGCTACTCGGTTGCCCAACCTGGAACCCCATCCCCGGTGCCTTAGGGGCGGGTTGAGCTGCTCAGCCCGCGGGACTGGGAGGATTCTGTACAAATGAGCATCAGCTGTGAGTTTTAAATTAGGCCTTTGCCCTGATGAATGCCCAACCCAGGGAGAGTCCAGAAGCCTTCCTCTTCCTTTCAAATTTTCATCCTCATTATGATATTCCTCTTAAGTCTTACCTCAGTCACTTCTGCCGCAGGAGCGCTGCACGGGGCTTCGTAGGCCTCCTTTGTGAAACTAGAGAGATTTTTGTCTTTTTTAAAGATTTATTTCTTTATGCATACAGGAACTGGGGTGTAAGTCAGAGGTGCGTGTGTTGGGGGGGGGGCGGTGCGGTGAGAGGGTTTACCAGAGTGGGGCAATGAACAGGCAGATTGAAATGCATTGCTGAAGGGGGCAACAGGGGAGACAGGAGAGGTCTGCTGTGCCATGTGGGTTAGCTCCCTGGCTGGCCGTTGTTGTGGTGGCTGGCAGTAGCTTGTTAGCGCTGTCTAACCCTTGTGCCACTAGGGAAGCTCCAGAGATTTTCTTTCTTTCTCAGCTCTGGGGAGAATCATTAAATCTCTCTCAGCATAATTTTGATTGTTAAGGGGTTTTTTTAGGGGTTTGGGGGACACTCAGTGGGCCCTGCATATGGACTTCTTTTATGATGACTCTGGAGAGAGCAAGGACTGTGGAGTCAGAAAAAGAGTTTGAATCCTGACCCTCACTCAGACCCCTCTGAGTCTAGGCAAGGTAAGGAAGGCTGTGGAGTCAGAACTATGTAAGACCAGATGAGAGATAGGCTGTGTTTGAGTTGAAAAGCTAATGTGTTAGGCAGGACAGGTTTTAAACAGGAACCAAAGTACACAATATGGAAGAACACAGGCTATGGAATCCAGAAGACTGGTTTTGAGCCTGCCATTTATTAACTTTTGTCTTTGGACAAATTACTTATTCTGAATCTCTGTGACCCCAGCCATAAAATGGGCTGGGATGAGGATGTAGGTTGTTATTTTAAAAGCGCAGAGCAGTGCATGACATTAAGAAGATGCTCATCCTTGGTCAGCTCTCTCTTCCTAGAAAAGCCTCCATGTTTGAAAAATCTCCAGTGTTCTAACTCTGGGTCTAGCAGTAGCTTTATTCTGTTCTACTCTGTATTCAGTCAACATTTGCTGAGCAATTTCCACATCCCTGGATACATAGATAGGCAGATAAAAGGTAGGCCTATTATCAAGTTACTACAGAGTAAATATATATGAGGTACCCTGGCATGGTAAAGGAGCAGAAGACTTATGTGACCAATTCTACTTAATCAGCATTGTTCTTCCCAAGATGAGCAGGTATTCCAAGGAGAGCCTGCAAGGAAAAATTTATAATGGAGGAAGGAATCCAGAGCCTAATTCCTGGGAGGTCAGTTACTCTGTGATATCTCATTCTAAAGAGTGGAAGACAGGAGAAAGAGAACAGAGGAAGGAAGGGTATAAGGAAGAATTTATTATTATTTTTAATGCTTTTTTTTTAAAGATTTATTTATTCATGCTACAGAACTGGGGTACAGGCCAGAGGTGCAGGGGCAGGCAGTGAGAAGATTCACCAGAGACAGAGTTGGGAGGAGAACAGGCAGATGGACGAAGTACACTGCTGTGGGGAACAGTGGGCAAGACAGAGGTCTGCTGTAATGTGGATCACATCTGGGCTGAGGGATCAAACTGGCACTGAAACCTGAAGAGGCTGCAGCTAGCTTGCAGTGCTGTTCCCTAACCCATTACACCACCAATGAGAGCCTGCAAGGAAAAATTTATAATGGAGGAAGGAATCCAGAGCCTAATTCCTGGGAGGTCAGTTACTCTGTGATATCTCATTCTAAAGGCAGTAGAATGCTATTAAAGAAGAGGAAAGTGGAAGAAAGTTTATGTCTGGCTTAAGTGAGGATTGGAGGGACTTAGTAAGACAGGAGCCTAGCAGGTAAGGCAGGAAGGGGTTACTGTGGCTCTCTCCGTCAAATAATGGATGCAAACTAAGATAAAAGGACAGGTAGTATCCCAAGACTTGGTTATAAAGTTGGTACAGAGGTGAGGGAAAGAATGATCTCCAGATTTCTAGCTGAAGTGACGTTGCTCTGAAGTGAAAGATGTAGGATAGGGAGAAGATGGTGGTTTGTGTGGGATATGCTGGTTTAAGATGTTTTGAGAACACCGCAAAGATATTGGCTGTTGTGTTCAGGAAAGTGGTCTGGATTAATGACCAGTAATGATCAGGTGTATGTCATTTTACTGGTGAATGTTGAAACCATAAAAGTGGATATCATTATCCAAGACAGCCTCTAGCATGTTCTGAAGAGGTCAAAGCAGAACCCTGGTAACTGTCAGTTTAAGGCAGAGGAAAGGAGAAAGAACTAAAGGGCTACTCAGAGAAGAAAGGTGGGAGAAGTCTGTAATGAGAGCCAAAGAAACAGAACTTATAGAAGAAAGAGTGATTGGTCCTCATGGTCAAGTGAGATGAAATAAAAAGGCTATTGGGGGCCTCCCTTGTGGGGCAGCTGGTTAAAGCACAGCACTAAGAAGCTATAGCCACATATGGTGAGGCAGACCTCTCCTGACCCGCCAGCTGCTCCCCTCAATGAAGTGTGCTTCATTGACCTGCGTGTTCTGCTCCCCACTCTGTCTCTGGTGAATCCTCTCACTGTCCCTGTATCTCTGGCCTGAACCCAAGTTCTGTATGCATAAATAAATAAATCTTTAAAAAAAGAAGGCTATTGGGTATAGCTTTTGGGAAAATCATTGGTGGTCTTTTCCTGGCCTCTTCTAATAGAGGGACCCAGATTGCTGCTATGTTATACGTAGCTGGAAAAGGTTTGAGGTAGAGACTGAGTTCCTTGCTGGGCTTCCTTCATGATACCTAGTGAAGCTGTTTAATATGTCTGTCACAAATGTAGTGAAGAAACTTAGATCAAAGAGGGAAAGGGTGGGCTTTTCAAGCTTTTAGAGGGAAAAAGCCATACAAAAGGAGAAGGGGGCCTCCTGGTGGCCTGTGGTTAAGTCTCAGTGTTATCACTGCAGGGCCCACTTCTACAGCCTGAGTCCCGTCCCCAGCCAGGGAGCTGACCTCCATGGCGCAGCAGACCCCTCCTGTCTTGCCTGCTGCTCCCATCAGCAGTGTATTTCAGTGAAAATCTGGGCTAGAACCTGGAGTTCAGGTGTTTTTAGCAGGAAGAGGAGAGATACTTTGCAAGGCTGGAGGTGATTTGATGAGGATGGGAGCAGTCACAGAAAATACTGCTGAAATGATCTGCTGAGAGTAACCAGGGAGGAGTTTCCAGGAAGAGCTTGAGTTTCCACTCATTCAGTACATTTGGAGTACTTTCTGTGCTGTGGAAAACAGGAGGAACCAACTAGGGCCAAGTGCCGCGGAAGGCACAGCTGAAGTCCCCAAGCAACCGGCTTGCCTTCTTAAGCTGGACTCAGTTCCAGTGCCCCAACGGACAAAGCTAATTGTGAGAAAAGGAAAAGGGCAGGCGCTGCCCTGGTCGCTGCTGCAGCTGTGACCCAGTTGGAGTTGTGCTTGGGGACACCCTCTGACCAGACGCCACAGCCCTGGGACAGCTCCTGGCACAGGTCCTCCTGGCCTAGAGTCGGGCACACTGTCTTCACTACCCAAGTCAGTTTCTGCTGTGCTTCCTTCCGGAACTCTTCACCCTCACCCCACTATCTCAGTGGGTGTCCTTGTGTGCTCCCATGGCCTCCGCCCCTCCCTTTCTCTCCCTGTCAGCATCAGCCTCACACTTCTGCCAGGACCTGCTCTCATACCGCCCTCCCTCTCCCCACCTCCCCCAGGGGGCCAGCAGGGGCTAGCTGTGCTGTTTTTTAAAAAGATTTATTTTTTCTTATGCATACAAGAACTGGCACAGGCCAGAGGTGTGTGGGGGTGGTGGTGAGAGGATTCACCAGAGACACAGCAGGGAGCAGAACCGGCAGCTTGAACAAGTACACTGCTGAGAGAGTGGTGGGTGAGACAGGAGAGGTCTGCCGCACCTGTGTCAGTGCCCTGGCTGGGGACTGAACTGCTGCAGTGGCCGAGATAGCTTCACAGTGCTGTGCTTTAACTCACTGCACCACCAGGGAGGCCCCTGTGCTGTTTTTTTAATCTCTGCAGCTGGGGTGCAGCTGGGGCCTGACATCTGAAGCTTCTCAGGAACTGTTTGGTGAATGAATGGCTTGGGGAGGGGCTGCCACCGAGGCCACTCTGTCCTCTCTCAGATATAAACAGGTTACCCAGCTGGGAGCGAGGACATCTGCTGGCTAGTGTGGCATCTAGCACCGATACGTCTATCTTCTCTGAAGGTGGGTCCAGGGGAATCTCT